AGAAACGCAACAGACATGGCATGGCTACATTCAGCAGGGACCAGTTACAAGTTGGCCTTGGCCAGTAGACAGTGGGATGTCTCACTTTCAGCAACCCTGTGTTGCTTTCCAATGTGCAACTTCCACCAACCAGGGATTCTGAAAAGGCAAAATTATGACCTGTGAAACTCTAAGGATATACCTAAGCGAATGATGCTCGGTGCTAATTTGTCTCACTTGTTTAAAGACTTTTAAATGTTATTGGATCTGTTCTGCTGAAGAATTTGTGCACATTTTAAAATAACGCCAAATGCATTATTTGCTTACATAAGCTAATTAACTATTTGATTAGATTCTATGATCCTGGCTCACTCAAGCTTTTCAGTGACAGAGTTTTCCTGATGAATAGAAAAATCTTTGACAGTCTGAGAAGTGAAGTCTGACTACTTACCTCCACGATGCCACTGATTTAGTATGTACAGCATTGTCAGATGGGAAGAGACCATGGGGTTCCATTAGATGTATCCATTCACTTAACAACCAACTTCGATAATGGCTTTCTCCTGGTGCCTAACTCTTTTGGAAGTGCTCAAGCTTGCATTTTCTCATGTACCGTCAAAGATTTCGCTCAGCTCCCTTTGGCCTACTTCATTACTTGGCTTCACTTAACATCCTTTCATTTGTGAACTTCTTATTCTCTGTGGACAAGAATTCTGATCTCCATCTTCTAATAAGAATTTTATGCCTTCTAGAATTGCTGATACCATAATCTGTTCGCTTACCTTATATTGGACACAAGCACTACATGGGTGGACCAAGGACATTATATGATCATTCCACCCACCTCTTTTCATGGAACTGCAGGTCTCCTTTTCCCAATCCCTTTAAAACATCTCAATAGAACATGTTTAGTTTCCATCTTCTCGGCTTTGAAGATTAAAAAAACACACAGTCATTCCTGGGTCATTTGGTTTATATCATGTGTAAAAAAGTAACAAATATCACTGGGATTTATAGTGAAACAAATTATCATCCAAACCCTACAGCTATTAAAAAGATAAGACTAGATCCCTCCTCTCCAGAATTATTTGGGTAAATCCTGTAACACTCAGCTTTTTCCAGCTTGTGCAAGTCATACGAATAGGTTTATGCACTTAAGGATAAGGATGATATATTCAGAAATTTGTTGCTTGCTCATTTGTTTGGACAAAGAGGCTACAGGCAAACATGGAGCTTGTTACAGTAGCAAATATTATGTGATCAATGGTGCTATTAAAAATTCTGTACGTATTAACTATGCATTATGGAAACTTAAAAAAAAGTTTAAAAGCATGTTAAATATCTGACAAGCCAGTCCAGAACCCTTGGCGCTGGTTATTGAGCTACTCTAATAAAATTTCGTTTTTAAACAGAAGGCTGATTCAGAGGTGTTAGTATGAGTCTTTGCTGATAAGTCTCCAGTTGGCTCCAAGGATTAAAATACAAAATCTGGAATCTTTTTGAATGGATTTAAACCAATGCAGACTGGTGCCATATAGAATGACACAGCTTTCCCGGAACAACGTTCTGTTGGCAGTAGGGAACATCAATGATTAATTGACTGAACCCATCCTAAGCATCTGTTAGTAGCTTCAGGATACTGAAGTAAGTGGTGTGTATCCAGGTGGTGGGATCTCTTTGCATCATTATGGCTCCGAAGATGGTGAAGGGGGTTAGGGAAGGAGGACCTGAAGCCACTCTTAATTGGACTTTTGCAATGAAGTCCAGCTTCCTGGCACTTTGAAGACCTATACTGGGGGAGGGGGCAGTTTGGATCCTATGCCTTACTTTAGGGATTAGTCGAGGAAACTACCATGAAAAAAATTTTTTTCTATATTATTTCATTGACTTTTCTCACAATTCTTCCTTGTAACGATCTCTTTCTCGTCCCCAACCCAGGTAGCTGAATCAGTACACTCATTGCTCTTGGAATTAGAAAGATGGATGGTGTGGCGATTGCACCTGGCATCCGATTGAGGGGCAATGTAATTCCAGCTCCCGGATTTGTTGGGGATGTAGATGACTGCGGACACGCCTTTAGATGTCCCAAGGCTACGACCTGGCCTTCCCTCAACCCTGCCCCCCTCCCCCTATCACCCCTGCCCAGTCCAGTCATCCGGCCTCTCTACACTCACCTGAGCGCTGGACCAAGACTCAGGAGAAGCCTCGCTCTGCGGATACCCAATAGTGATTTTCTAAAGTCGCAGCTACTTAGCTGGTGATTTAGGTGTTGGCTAATTTGAAAGAATAGAAGTTCTTCTATTGCAAACGTACATATTGGAGATTGACTGGATGCCGGCCCTGTTGAGAAAGCAGAAGAAATCTGACGGCCCAGGATCCTGCTTTTCCACCCTTGACCTGGCAGAAGGAAAAGCTGTTGCTCCGCAGCTGAGCCATGCCCGCCACAAGCTCTGCCCAGGGCTAGGGGCCATGGCCACAGGAGTTTATTCTGTGGGCAAAGGAGGAACGCAGCTTCTCTGGGCGTAGTTTTCAGCAGGTGTCAGCTTAAAACCACCCCTGCTGACCACATTTGAAAGAAGGC